CCTTGCTAGGCGTTTCTTGGTTGTCTGACTGGCTCATGGTGTGATGTCAAGTGGAAATCGGGGGTTCGAGGACGGCTGAGTCGAAGCTGAGAGACAGCGAGGGACTGGACAGGAAGAGGGTCGCACTGGGACTCGTTTATATAGACAATGGGCCAAGAGGAGAGTGAAGAAAAGGGCGGAGAGCCGGAAATAAGAAACAACGAAGCAGAATGATGAAGAATCGGATAGCTGGGGCGCCGAGCTAACTTGCAAAGAAGCCCCAGAAAACTCAAGCGGTGTAAGGGCCACGACAAAAGGACCAAGGACTCGGGAACTCCTGGCCGGCCACTGGTAAGGACTTGACTGCATCTTCTGGTCTGGTCAGCCATGTGTGGCATTCTGGACCTACGGCCGCGGTGCCTGTCATGCCCGGGGGGTGTCACCTCGGTACTAAAGCAGGTTTGCAGATCCTCCAGGCCAACGGCCGCTCGGCTGTCTTGGCTATCAGCTGGTGTGAAGGCAGAATAGTGTTGCGCAGAGCTCAGACAGCCGTAGTTAACCGCCAAGAAAATGAGGCCTACTGGTGGAAACCGCTGAGGCACACTCATCTTGCAGCGGCAAGACAGCTTGTGTTTCACCCAGCGCCCCTGGAGGCCAATAGACCATCTCAAGAGCGAGTTCCAGGAAACGGATTCTGTCAGTTTGTCTATCGGCAGCATCCAGAATTCTCATTCACACCCACAAATCTTCGAGTTTTGTTTCAGATTCCCCAAGGCTCTCTCTCTCTGGGCGGCCTTCCTGTCCGACGGTCAGACCCCTTCGGGCTGAATCTCCCCGACGAGGCTTACAGGGCAAGAATCTTTGGGCACTGTGTTTTTGCTAATAATGTCCCCGACAGAACTATGACAGAGTAAATACTATTTGGCATCCGGCACGCGGAGCTTCCGCATTATCCGTTCTCCCATTTCCCTCGAGTTTTCATCATCACACTCTGTGATTAATAGAACTTCAATTCCAAGTCCTCCTTGAGTGCAGCGAATCCAACACCTTACTGAACAGGTCCTTGGGCCTGTGGTGAGGTATTGCGCAAGCACTCGTACAGTGTTAGACCGTATGAAGCACCGTTCGACCTGTACGCCACAAGTTGCTAGGGTGCCTTGTAAGCGCCCTCGAGGCGCACTTGACAACACAAATATAATTAATCGTCAACACAGACAGCCCAACCCCCTGCTTTCTTGTCCAATCGGACTATTCCGTTGATACGAGTGTTGGCCTCTCAACAAATTTCGTGATTCGTCATCTTCTGACTCAAAGTAGCGGTATGTTGTGTGGAGATTAAACTCTCGCCGCATTTCCTTTTCCTTCTCCTTCTCCTGTCACCGCATTTCCTTTTCCTTCTCCTGCCACCGCATCTCCTCTCAACTTCTTGTTCTTCGAGCGAAAACAAGGCATCTACAATTTTCACAAACATATCTATACGGTAGACAGCGCATAACCGAAATAGTCGGCATATCACGAACAACACTACTACTACCTACTAGTAGTTAAGATATAAGCTATCCCTTACGTTACTAGTATTATAGTGCCCTCTCGTCTGTACTCTGGTTCGCATTAAATCGCACGAGGATTGGGTTTCAGTTAATACATTTCTCCCCCTTGTATGATCTCTCCTCGCTCGTCCAATCGTCCATAATACTTTCGACCAACTCGGGCCACTTCACTCATTGGTCATTGCTACTATAAAGTTTACATAACCTTCCATCATCGATGTACTTCCATATATCCATGTCCTCATTTTCTACCGCCGGGTAGTTTCCCAGTCGACCGTCGATCTTGAGAGCGCTCCGAAGCGTAAGTGGGAAACCTTGAGGTCGAAAGGCGGGAATCCGGGAGGGAGACGGTATATTGGTTTAGGGTTGGATATACAGCTGTATACCCCATATATGGAGTTGGGGCAACAGCATCACCAGGCGATAGTTACATCGTCGGAATGCGCACCGCGCTTGAGTTGCTGTATGGGCATTACTTTGTATGTAGGACCTAGCTCAGCACGTCCCAACATGTCATGAGGCATTCTGGCATGGCCTTTGGCCATGCCCCGGACGTTAAATGGAACACACACACACACACATGTCCTCATTTTCTAGCAAACCGCAAAAGCCAGCTGTCTATCTTTCATCTTTCCATCTATGGCCTATCAACCCAAGTCCAAGCCCAAGTCTAATCCATAGTTTTACCTCAATGCTTAATGAAATCCAAAAGCAGAGTCCGACTCTTCTCTAATCATAAATATCCATGATCTCCCCAAAACCCAGGTACATACCTGTAGGCAGGTAATCAAACCCGCCTCGTCATCTCCCTCACCCCCCCCATCAACCCCCCCACCACAACACACCACCCGCCATACATGCCCTCCGCTTTAACAAACCACCTCCCCATCCGCCGCACCTTCTCCCACGCCTCTTCCCCGCGCTGCCCAGCTAGCTGCCCATCCGGCCGCACCCCGGCCAGGCTCGCCCGCGTGGTAAAAACCTCGGCATACCACCTCCTCACCCGCTGCAGATCCATCTTCAACGACAACCCCATCGTCAAAATCATCTGCTGCTGTTGTTCCCTCACCGCCCTCTTGTGAGCAGCCGCAGCAGCAGCAGCAGCAAGAAAAGGAGGAGGAGGAGGAGGAGGAGGACCCCGCAACAGCATCCCCTCCTCGAGCGCCGTGTGCGCCGCAAACAGGAGCTGGGCCGTGTCGATGCGCATGCCGTGCGCGAAGCGGTCGACGCCGGTGTCGAGGGCCGCTAGGGCGTGGAGGAGGGCCGGGGCTTGGGTGGTGAGGGTTTGGATGGGGGATGTTAATACAGGGCCTCCTCCTTTTGCTTCTCCCGCGTCGGGTGGGGGTGGGGGGGATGAGGCTGGGAGGTTGGTGAGGAGTTGGTGGAGGAGGGTTTGGATGAGGTGGATTAGGCGGCGGATTTCTTGGCTGTGGTGCAGGACCAGTTCCATTGTGGCGAGGAGCCGTTTTTGGGTTTCGTGGATGAGGATGATTTGATTGAAATCGCGGGTGGAGGCCGTGTGTGGGTAGTTGCTGGGTCTTTGTTGGGCCAGGGGGACCGCTGCGGCGGCGGCACTGGCCAGGACGGTGGTGAAGGTGCTGAGGGCCTTGGTGATGAGGAAGTTGTGGCCGCGGAGGGCGGAGAGCTTGGCCGAGAGGTTCATGGCCTGGTAGATGTGGTTGGTGTACCAGCTTTGGTGCTCGGGGGAGAGTGGGACGGGGTTCCACATCCACCACCACGGTGCGCAATGGGCGGCGACGTACCGCATGACTTCGTGGTCGAGGACGGGGATGATGCCGCACCATTCTACTGGCAAGGAGAATGTTTCAGCTGGCCCGGGCCAGGGCACCGCTAGTCTGGCGTATGGACTGCCGGAAAATGTCTTGGTGGTGACGGCCTCGACGGGCTTGTTGCGATTATGCATGGGCTTCGGCAGTTGGATTCCGGAGGATGACCTGGGGGCATCGGGCATGTCAAGCTCGAACGTGATCTTTCTTGTTCTCTGGGCAAGCCCAGTGTTTCCTTCAGGGGAGAGCGCGATGCCTAAGCCGACAAGGCCGTTGAGAAAAGTGTTAATTCCCAAGATCGGATCCTCACTAGCATGTTTAGGGTTGGGCACCCAGTCATGGTCGCGGAGATACGCAACGAGAGCATCAAAGTGGCGAACCATTGTGACTGGCAAATCGTCGTGTTGTGGTTGTAGAATGGTATCAGCGTCTGTGTTAGTAGTTGAGGTAGCTACCGAGAAGACGCAGAAACCCTGGATGATACGTGGAAATGAGCTCGCCGGAGACTTCGTCTTTTTAAAGAGAACTTAGCTGTGCTGTCGCGGCGGTTGAAAGGGACCATATATATAGGAACTGGAATGGTGGGAGAACAGGCGAGATATACCGGTTGGGATAAGATGTATCGACAGTGCCCGACAAAGAGCGCTGAACAAATCATTGTTCAGCTGAGACAACGATGGCCTAACAAAACACAAGAGTCATGTCAACTGGTTACTAACAAAACCGGCAATTCAGACTGGGATGACGGTAGATATTGAAGTGTCCAAACCTAGGTAGCGATGAAAGTAGACTAGCTAGCATAGGTTCTAATGTCAACGTTAGAGCGAAGGTTATAAGTAGGACCTACTATATCAGAAACGGTATAGCCAAGTAAAGTTTGGCAACATCCTAGTTTGCAATGGTTTTGTTGTTTTTGGAAGTCACCCGTTGTTCAATCAGCCAAGCACAACTCGTTTTCAATTGAATGCGGGACTTCACAAGAAGTTTCCTATGGAGCAGAGTCTCGATGTGATATGGGCAGAAGTTTCGAGAGCGTTCCGCCTCAGAAACGGAATTGGTGAACTAGGGCAACAAAGGTTTTCGTGAATTTGAAGGTATCTGGGTGGAAATGACCAAACAATGAACAAAGGAGACAAAGCGATTGTCGCCACCCCCGCTTGTCACAGCGTCGAGTTGCACTCGGCCCCGTCAATCCCAACCCATACGGCAGCGAACTGCGGCGCCGGCGCCTCGGGCCGTAGCGTCAGATCCGAGACCGTTAAGTAACCGACCACATTGGTGATGCCGTCCGACGGAGTTGTGTATTGCGATGTGCCGTACCAATTGGAGCTATAGCTAACAGGATCCCTCCACTTTACCCACACACACAACTGGCCAGAATCGCTGTTCTGACCAACCACTGCTCAAATCACCCTTTCCAGTGCAATCATCGTGCCTTGTGGCTGCAGGTTTCCAACAAATGTCCTCGGAATGCCGCAGGACGGTTTTGCAGCTGTGGCTTCTCGCTCTTAATAAAAGAGCCTCGGAGCTCCCTCTTTGTAAATCACTTTGTGTTGGCATCTCTTTCCAGAAAACGGTGCGACCCCTTGACCCGCTGTCGACCCAAAAAACACAGGGGTTGAAAAAAAGGGGGTGGGTCATCCGCCGTCAAAAATATCAATTTTCGCCGCCCTGGCGACCACTTCGATCATGCTGGGATTCGAACCCAGAACCTTTACCAGCTGGTGATAACCGGAAAGTAATGCGCTAGCCATTGCGCCACACAACCAATGAACTGCTTTGCTCAATAGCTCCGGCTGAATCGCTCATATTGAAAGGAAGTTGGCCCGCACCGCCTAACTACCGTCTCTGCCAGCCATGCAAGCCATGCAAGCCCTGTGCCTGCAACTGCGCCTGCGAGTGCATCAAACTGAAGTTGTTGATAGTTGGTCGCCCGCCCTGTGTGTGCGAATTGATGGTGTTGAGGGTTGCCTGCGAGTATGTACATACCCGAACTGCGATTGGGGCTGTTGGCTCGCATATATGGGGGTGGCCCACATACCGAGTACCGGGCTACATCTGGGAGCGCAGCGCATACTACCAGGTATTGCTACGTCGGCGGCGCAGGCGCAACGAACCGTACCTGCGAGAGAAACGTCACAGTTAATCGCGTCTGTTGTTGAGTTTTGAACTGTGCCTGTGTCGGCTTTCTTGTCTTGCGAGGGCTTGGTGGTTCGTCGTGCGAAAGGTCCCCCTCACGCTTGCACCTACCTGTGTCGCTAGGATAACCCCCTCCTCTATCTGCGGGAGCGCTTAAGGACAGAATGATTCATTGGGAAAGGAATACAATGCACGCACTGATATACTGGCATTCCGCATGACCGGGCTACCTAGCATCAACCTCCACCACGCTATTGAAGACCAATAACTGTTTCATAGCACCCTCAATTCACTCTTGCTCATAAGCATCTCAAATACAAACACGGGACTTGCTCAGTTGAAAATACCTAAGGGTGTTGGTTGGCACTTGGCGGGGAAGGCTACAGTACCGAGACCTGGCACTAGGTAGCTACAGCAAGAAACAAAAGTGCATATCCATCCACACTGTCCTGTTCGCCAGTAATATCCTAGTCCAATGAAAGCCGCAGCGAGTGGAGAATGAAAGTCCCAATGAAACCCAGAAAGAAGCAAGAACGCCCAAACCCCTGCGATTTTCCCAACTCAAAGACGCCAGAAAGGGGCCACATGAGCACCCAACACGAATTAGGAGAGCGATAACCAAGATACCTCGAGGGAGGGGAGATGAAAAAACATCCTAGGGCATCCTAGGCTCGGAAAAAGGGAAAGCCAAAATAAAGAATCCAGGAAAGGCAGCCAAGGAAAACGAAGGAAAGACAAGGTCGGAAATGGGGGGGACCGGCCCTTGGCTCAGTCCCTGCCGCGGCCCCTTCCCCTCCCAAATCCACCGCTCGCGGCGCTCTCGCCGACTCTCAGTTCCTCCTCGGGCACACCCACGCCAATGGCGCTCCCCGATGAGCTCATGGCGCTGACGGCCCTCGGCCTCTCGCCTTCTGTTCGGCCCCCTTGCTTCAGTGCGGCCGCATCTCTCACCAGCCGCTCCAGCTCCCGCACCCGGCGCCGCAGCGCGTCATTCTCCCGCTTGGCCTCCTCCAGCTCGGCTCGGCGAAGCGCCGTTTCCTCGTACCGGGGTGTGGCGGGCAGGATGCCAGGCGACAGTTCGCTCGTGGTGGTGGTGGTTGCAGTCGTAGCTGTAGAGACTGGCGTGGCCAACGCCGAGGTGCTGGTCCCCGACTGCGAGCGCATGGGCATCCGCGCGTTGAAGTACCCCGGAAGAGATCCCGGCTCGCTGGCGTAGTGGTGCGTGTAGCTGCCCGACATGGAGTGGGAAGCTGGGGACGGGGACCCGGTCCTGCTGCGGCGCGAGGCGCTGCTGTTCTGCCTGCTGAGGGACACGCCCCCGATTGCGATGGGCGGTTGGGCCGAGGGCCGGACCGGGGCGGGCGAGGATAGACCTGCCAGCGAAGCGGTCGAGACGGAGCCGGCGTGGGCGGTAAAGCTGCGAGCGCTAGTATTCGAGGAGGTGCGGTTGTGGCGGATGGGTTGGTAGTGGTTGGTGCCTAGGCTAGGTTGCGAGGTCTCACCCCACTGCCCGGGCTCAGTACCCGAGGCACTTGCCGAGGTGGATGAGGTGTTGGAAACGACCGAAGCGTTCTGGGCCTGCCGAAGGACAGTGAGTTCACGAGTGAGGCGGTTGACCTGGACGATAGAGCGTTAGTTGGAGTGCGTCGGTGGTCTCAGGGGGCGTTACTCACCACCGCCTCCTGCTCCTTCTCGAGTTGCAGATGGAGATCGACGGCAGTCAGTGGACGCGGGTGCCTCAAGGGACCCGGCCCCGAGCCGACGCCGGTGTTGTCGCCCATTGAAGGACCTGGAACGGAGCCAGCGGGCAAAAAGCCTGGGGATGGCAGACTCGACGAACTGGAGGCGTTGACGGTGTTCTGAGTCGAGCGGAGGAGGTTGAGCGAAGGAGAGCCCGTTGCGGGCGGCGGCGGCATTTGCTGAGAAGATGCACGGCGCGACGGGGTTGCGAGGATGTGTGGGGATGGCGGCACCGAGTTCAGGTCGGGCATGGCGACGTCGGAGGAACTTGATTGAATGTCGGTGCCTGGCGGGGTTTCCTTTCTTCACCTTCACTGGCCGCTTCCGGAAACAGCAGGGCACGCGATGGTAGGGAGTCGCGATTACTCTCAGTTGCGATTGGGGTTTTGAAGTTCGGGTGCGCGGGGGAAGAAAGAGTGTTTCAGCAGCCTGCGGCCAAAACAAACACAGGCAACGAATGGCATAATAATATGGCCGATTATGCGGCCTTCGGTGTTCGAGGACGAGTGTTGGAGAAGAGGCGGAGGGAGCAGCGGAATACAGTGGGATGGAGCCCCACTGAGCCCCACCCCCAACGGTTCCACGGTGCCGAGACCCACCAGTCGCAGGTGGGTCATGACAGCCCGAGAGAAGTGGGCCCTTGTGCAGGGCAACAGGGCGAGCAGGGTGTTGGTGACGGGCCATGATGTAATGACGGAATGACGGGATGGAGAAGAGGACGAGGAAGACCTGGATCATTAAGAACCGACTCGATGGTATAAAAGACTCAATTTTATCCAGATCTGAATTCCTCAAACAACGTACTTGCCAATTGACAAAAGCTTTGCGGAACTAGCAAACCAAAAAAACGTATGTGCGACCCCCAGCGTCATGATGTATGACCCTAACCTTGAGCTTGGTCCTAGCTATCACCAAGCAAATTTACACACGCTTCCACCATCTCCAACATGGCTGAGCGCGGTCAATCTCCTCCGCCCGAGCGGTCGTCGGGCAAGCAGATGCATGACCCGCCTGCATCCGGCAAGGGAACCGACGATGCGTCAAACAAGGAGGACGTCAACAAGGCGGCCCTGGAGGTTGGCTTTTCCCTCCCAAGCCGATTCAGAGCCAAGACAGCCGCTAACAGTGGACAGCATCTGACATCCAACCCGAAGGGTCCGATGGAGGACGAGGTCGAGAGGAAGTTCGAAAAGGGGTTCAAGCCAAGTGCCTGAGTTTATTTTTTGCTGCACGTTGAACATAAGTGCGGGGTCGGAAGCTTCCATAAATAACGAATTTCCATAATCATCGTTGCAAATAGAGTTTTGAACCATCTACACCAAAATTATCGGCCTGTGCTAGTGTTGCAATTTTCCACTAGCAATCACTTTTATGCCAGTTTTCACATGCAACCGTCTCCATCGTCATCTATTCAGGTAGAGATAGTTGCCTTCTGCAAGATGCCAAGGGAGCCACAGCGTCCCGCGCAGCCACAGCTGTTCTTCAGCCCACTTTCACATGCATGGAGAAGCTCTGCATAGCCACAGTTCAGATGCCCCGCAATCAGGCGATGACGACACCAACATTGTTCGCCCCTCCCCTCAAGGCTCAACCACTCCCTCCCGTGGCAACGAACACGCGTCCCAACTTCCTCCTGCTTGAAAAAGGGCTTGTCCTGCTCTTCCTCTTTGCATTTCTCCCCAGAATCTCAAAACCATCACCTCTTCCGAAAACCAAGCAATTTTCGGAGCAGTCAACTGTATACGCAACCTCTTATAACCCGCATCACCCACGCATATCAGCACGCAATTGCCTGCTGCAGCTGCCAATATGGCTACTACCGTTTACGTCAAGAACATTGGCGCGCAGACGCAGGATAAGGAGATCAAGGACTTTTTCAGCTTCTGGTGAGTCGAGCATCCATCCGCCCGCCCTCTCTTGTCCATTCCCAGCAAGTGAACATATCATCGGCGACCCGTAAGCTAACCCCACCGCCAGCGGCAAAATCTCCAACATCAACATCGACGTCTCTAGCGAAGCGGATGCACCCAAATCCGCCACCGTGACCTTTGAGAAGGAAACCGCCGCCCGCACCGCCCTGCTCCTCAACCACACCCAGCTCGGCGGCAACGAGATCTCGGTCACGGGCGACAACATCTCGACGCCGCCCGACGAGTCCACCACCACCGGCAGCGGCGCCGACGCCACCCAAACCGCCGAGCGCGACCCGCTCCTCTCGCAAGAAGAGAAGCCGCGCAGCCGCATCCTCGCCGAGGTGCTGGCGCACGGCTACATGGTGGCGGACCAGGGCCTGCAAAAGGCGATCTCGCTCGACGAGCAGCACGGCATCTCGTCGCGCTTCGTCAGCACCCTCAAGCAGCTCGACGAGAAGACGCACGCGACGGACCACGCCCGCGCCGCCGACGCAAGCTACGGCATCACCCAGCGCGCCAGCTCGCTGCTCACGGGGCTCAGCTCGTACTTTGAGAAGGCCAGCAACACCCCCACGGGCAAGCGCATTGTGGAATTCTATACCACCAGCCAGAGGCAGGTGCAGGATATCCACACCGAGGCGAGGCGGTTGGCCGAGCTGAAGAAGGAGGAGGGTGGCGGCGGCGCGGGCAGTTTGTACAAGAACTTGGGGCTAGATAAGGTTTTGGGGCGGTTTCAGTCGGGGGGGTCGACTGAGGAGGGCGCTGCTGCTGGCGGTAGTGAGAAGAAGGAGGTGCCTGGCGGGGCGCCCGCCGATGCCGTTGCGACTGAGTCGGCGCAGAAGCCCGCCGCGCCGTCGGGAAACGGGGGTCCTGAGACGATTCACTAGACAGAGAGGGGGTTGTTAACGAGTGCTGAGAGTGGTTTGGTGGAAGCGTGGTCTTGTATGGTTTAATCCTGCTTGCGGTCTAGTTTTGG